CTTCAGAGAGTCCCCATTAAAATTTATTGCAAGGCTGGTTTAGTGGTCACAAACTCCTTTAAGTTTTGTTTGTGTGGGGAACTTTTTATCTCTCTTTCTATTTTGAATGACAGCCTTGCTGGATAAAGAATTCTTGGCTGCATGCTTTTCTGATTCAGCATGTTGAATATATCCTGCCACTCCTTTCTGGCCTGCCAAGTTTCTGCTGCAAACCTCATATGTCTTCCCTTGTAGGTTAGGGACTTTTTTCCCTTGCTGCTTTCATGATTCTCTCCTTGTCTGAGTATTTTGTGAATTTGACTCTGATATGCCTTGTTGATGGTCGGTTTTTGTTGAATGTAATGGGGGCTTCTCTGTGCTTCCTGGATTTTGATATCTGTCTTTCCCCATGTTAGGAAAGTTTTCCACTATGATTTGCTCACATAACCCTTTCTCTCTCTTCCTGTTTTGGGACCCCTATGATTCTGATGTTGTTCCTTTTTAATGAGTCCTTGATTTCTCTAATTCTTTTTTTTTTTAATTTTTTAACGTTTATTTATTTTTGAGACAGAGAAAGACAGAGCATGAACAGGGGAGGGTCAGAGAGAGGGAGACACAGAATCTGAAACAGGCTCCAGGTTCTGAGCTGTCAGCACAGAGCCTGATGTGGGGCTTGAACTCACGGACCGTGAGATCATGATCTGAGCCTAATTCGGCTGCTTAACTGGCTGAGCCACCCAGGTGCCCCAATGTCTCTAATTCTTAAATTGTGCTCTTTTGCCTTAATCTCCCTCTTTTTTTCTGCTTCATTATTCTTTATAAGTTTGTCTTCTATATTGCTGATTCTCTGTTCTGCCTTGTCCATCCTTGCCACTGCTGCAGCCATCCGTGATTGCAGCTCAGTTACAGCATTTTTAATTTCATTCTGGTTATTTTTCACTTCTTTTATCTCTGCAGAAAGGGATTCTAATCTATTTTTGACTCCAGCTAGTATTCTTATTATTGTGATTCTAAATTCTGGTTCAGACATCTTGCTTGTATCTGTGTTGGTTAAATCCCTGGCTGTCGTTTCATCGTGCTCTTTCTTTTCAGGTGAATTCCTTCGTTTTGTCATTTTGAAGGGAGAAAAGGAATTAATGAGGTAGAAAAATTGAAATTAAAAAAATTAATATTAAAAAAATTTAAAAATAAAAATTCAACACACACACACACACACACACACACACACACACACACAAATCAAATATACGATGCTAGATCCTAGGTGTGTTTTGATCTGGGTATTGAAAGTGGTTTGACAATTAGAGAAAATAAAAAGGGGGGGAGAAAAAAAAGGAAATCGTTTGAGAATTTGAAAAAATGAATACACTGAAGTAGACTAAAATGAGATGATGGGGGTAAAATAGAATTTGAAAAAATATATAGAAAAATAGAGAATAGAATATAGTAGAAAAAAATTAAAGAAAAATATTTTTAATAAAATTTAAAAATAAATATGAATGTTTTCTTTTTCTGTATTTAAGAAAAAAGAAAGAAATGAAAAAGAGAAAAAAGATAAAAGAAGAAAAGAAAAAAGAAATAGTTTGAAAATTTGAAAAAGTGAATACACTGTAGTAGACTAAAATAAAATAATGGAAGTAAAATAGAATTTGAAAAAATTTACATAAAAGCAAGAAATATAGTATTAAAAATTAAATAAAAATATTTTTAATAGAAATTGAAAGTAAAAATGAAGTTTTTCTCTTTCTGTATTCAAGAAAAAGAAACAAAAAGAGAAAAAAAGAAAAAGAAAGAAAGGAAATTGTTTGAAAATTTGAAAAGGTGAATACACTGAAGTAGACTAAAATAAAATGATGGAAGTAAAGTAGAAATTGAAAAAATTTACACAAAAGTAAAAAATATAGTAATAAAAATTAAAGAAAAATATTTTTAATAAAAATTGAAAATAAAAGTAAATTTTTTCTGTTTCTGTATTCAAGAAAAAAGAATTGTAAAAGAGAAAAAGAAAAAAGAAAGAAACTTGAATAGATGAACCTGGTAACAGATTGAAGTAGGACTGAAATTGCTTTCTTTTCCCCTAGAAGTCAGTCTACATAGCTCTTTATAGTCCATAAATTAAGCCAGCGGTGAGACTTCTGTTGGCCCAGTTGGGCAGGGCTCAGTGTAACAGCTCCGCTCTCCACTAGATGGTGCTGTTAGCTTACTGGGGTGTATTTTTGCAGGACTCATAGGTGCATATGTGCATGCACTTGAGTGGTGAAAATGGCCCCCACCCAGCTACCCAGTCTGTTCTACCAGATCACACACCCGTCCTCTGTCTTCAGTTCTTGTCCACTCCCTGCTTTTTCACTCTGTGACCAGGCTCCAGGCAGTACCTCTATCCTGAGTTTTGTCTCAGATGCGGCTGTTTTCTCTGGCCCCTAACATCCAAAGGACTGCAGCTTTGACCTGTTCCGCCCCTCTGTAGGAGGGTCTCACCAAGCAATGGCCAAATGAGCAGTGGCCAAATGTCGGCTGCACCCAGGAATGCCCGCTGGACCCTGCTGCTGCCTATACCCTGAGACTGTGGCCAGGTGCCAGCCCACCCCAGAAAATGTTCGTGAGACAGTGTAGCAGCAGCGTTTCAGGGATTATGGAAAATCACAACACACATCTGGCACCAGGCTTCACCCTTAATGACCTTGCTCCAGCACCAGCGAATGTGGCTACCTTCTGGGGTCTGTTGCTCCAGCACCAGCGAATGTGGCCACCTTCTGGGGTCTGTTGGGACCAGGTGGCTTCAACAGTCTGTACCAAATGTCCTTCCAGCTGTGGAACTGCTTTTCCCAGTGTGGCTCGAGAACCTCCCGGACCCCAGTCTGTTCCTGGGGATTTGCCCTTCCCACTGGGGCACTGCCAGGTATCGAGCTGCAGAGTTGCAGCCTTTGTACTCCCCTTGTTTACAGTCTTAATGGAATTTAAACCCTCTCCTTTCCCCTTTCTCCCTTTTTAGTTTAGTCCCTGTGGCTGTTTCCAATTTTCCACTTTCTCTCTGGCTGCTTTTGGGGAGGGGTGCTTTTCCCGTATTCTCCCCCCTCCCCAGTCTCCATCCTCTGCCCGCAAAAGCAGTTCCCTACCTTTTGTGGCTTCTCACTCCCCAAATTCACCTCTCTGTACCATGTACCTGCTGAATTCTGTGGTTCAGATTGTGCAGATTGTTGTGTTAATCCTCCAATCAGTTTTTTAGGTGTGTAAGATGGTTTAGTGTTGGTCTGGCTGTATTTCATGGATGCGAGACACACAAAAAACTTCCATGCTGTCTGCCCCATCTTCGCTCCTTCCCGAGATTTTTTTTTTAACCCCTGTACCAAATTCAGTATTTTCTTTAAGTGAGAAGACTCACAATTTCAAGTTTGGAAAAGTCCTAGATGTTTTCTCTTCAAATATCGAGTCTCTGTCATTCTAAATCTTCTGTGTCTGAACTCCTTCATGTTTCTTAACTGGTCTTTTTATATTTTATTACATTTCTGTTTGTCAAGTGTTCTGGGTGATTTCCCTAAACAATTAAAAAATCAGTAATCCTTTTTTTCCAGTTCTTTCATTTTTTTGTTTAATGGGTTCTGTTTCTTTATTGGTCTCTATGGAAATCCCAAACATTCTTTTTGTCTTTCTTTTTCTTTTTCTTTTTTTTTTTTTTTGGTCTGTTACTTGTAATTTTTTTTTATGTATGAATTCTTTACTTTTCTCTGCCTGTGGGCACTAACTCTCAGCATCTTTTTTTCTTTGATTGTAAGGCCACCTTAAGCACCCATAATTATATCATGAGATTTCTGTGTATCCTGCTTTGTAGAATCTTCCTTGTGGAGATTATTTCATGTGTTACTCTCCTAAGTCATAAATGCTTACATTTGTTATACCTGGAGATCTATAATTCATAGGAAGCATGGGCCTGTATCCTAAACCTAAAACTCATAAGGCTTGAGGTTCCTGTTTCTCTATTTGATATTTTTTCCATCCACATCCTTAAACCATTTGAAGCACTTAGAGTTTCTATGTCTCTAGGTGATCCTTTTCCATCTACACTTTTGAAACAATTACCTTGCTGCATCTCAAAGATTAATAGTAGCAGATTTTACTATCCCTCTTTTATGGCTTCCAAGTTTAGAGAAGGAGTCAGTGTAAGCTTTCTAGGAGGGCTCAACTCCTTATTGGCTATGTGGATGACTAATTCACCTACTTCTGGAGTCACTCAGCTTTTTTTTTTTTTAACGTTTATTTTTTTTGAGACAGAGAGAGACAGAGCATGAACGGGGGAGGGTCAGAGAGAGAGAGGGAGACACAGAATCAGAAGCAGGCTCCAGGCTCTGAGCTGTCAGCACAGAGCCCGACGCGGGGCTCAAACTCATGTACCGCGAGATCGTGACCTGAGCCGAAGTCGGACGCTTCACCGACTGAGCCACCCAGGCGCCCCAGGAGTCACTCAGCTTTAGTTCCTATTTACCTTTGATGCTTACAGTTTTCTCTCTTTTTAATACTATCATGGGAAATTTCCCTTTCTTCTTTTAAATTTTGGCTAGTATTTTGTGTTATTTTTTCACTATTTCTCTGTGCAGGGTAGAAGGGGGAAGCTACCTTGTCAACCCAGTCAGCTTGATTATCTAGAAGTCAGTGAGGGTCTTAAATCATGACCTGTAATAATTTGTTTATCAGTGGGTAAAACATGAGATTGGAACTTGAAGGCCAGAATCAGGCATTTAAAATTGAGCATATCCTGGCAAGTAAAAAGGAGAAAAACTAATCTGTTTTCTTACTTCTTTCCCTATTGGGGATTTGATATTTATATTCTTTATGGATATGGTATGTGTATAAATAAGAATATTAATTGCATACTTCAATTTAGTAATCTCTTAAAATTATTCATTAGTGGCAATTAGTGATATAAAAGAGTTAATGCAGGTTACAAAGTAGTCTGACATTCATTTGTTATGGATGCATATTTTTTTAATATTAACTTGGAAAGCATTATTTTCATTCTCATTTAGATCCAGATCAGAAAGCAGCAGCCAAACAGATACAGTCAGGTAAGTAAATTAGGAGGTGTCTTTTAAAGTAAGTATGTGGGGGCACCTGGGTGGCTCAGTCAGTTGAGCGTTCGACTTTGGCTCAGGTCATGATCTCATGGTTCGTGAGTTTGAGCCCTGCGTCGGGCTCTGTGCTGACAGCTTGGAGCCTGGAGCCTGCTTCAGATTCTGTGTCTCCCTCTCTCTCTGCCCCATCCCCACTCATGCTCTGTCTCTCTCTGTCTTAAAAATAAACAAAACATTTAAAAAATTCAAAATAAGTATGTGTTAAAAATAAGATTAACAAATTGATAACCAGCAATAAATTACTAAGTATCAATTGAGCAGTAACAATTGGTAAGGTGCTATACCAAAAAATAACTTATTAGTATTTGCCAATCTAATGACTAATGACTATTTGTCTAGAAAAATCAATGTCTTCTTACTTTGATTTTGTTAATGTATGTTGGGGGTTTAGTTTTTGGAAACAAAGGAAAAAATGATTGGTTAAATGTTTATGGAGCTAACTTATAAATGGGGAAGTTTACCTCTGTATTTATAGATTTTTACAACTAGAAATTAAATGTGCATGCTCATGAACAACTGAATGAATTCTTACCCTGGTCACTTAAGAACTTTGCTGAAGAGAAACATCATAATAAAATTTTGTAAGTTTATTTATTTATTTTGAAAGAGACAGAAACAGCATGAGAAGGGGAGGAGCAGAGATAGAGGGGGAGAGAGAGAATCCCAAGCAGACTTCCTACCAGCAGCACAGAGCCTAATGGTAGGGCTCAAACTCACAAAACTGTGAGATCATGATCTGAGCCGAAACTGAGAGTCCAAGGCTTAACGGATTGAGTCACCCAGGTGACCCAAGAAACAATAATTCTGTGGGGGTGTCTGGGTGGCTCAGTCAGTTAGGTGTCTGACTGTCATTGGGCTCTACACGAACAGTTCAGAGACTGCTTGGGATTCTCTCTCTCCCTCTTTCTCTCTGACCCTCCCCTGTTTGTAGTCTATCTTTTTCTCTCTCAAAATAAATAAACATTAGAAAAAAACACAGTAATTCTACATCTTCCATAGCCTTTCAGTATCACAAAAGAGTTTTAATTAGATTTCCATCCATTTCCTGAAGGGTGAATATTTCTGTATAGTAAAACAGTAAGTCTAGTTTCCCACATCTGTCATTTTTGGGTTTGGGGTCTTTCTGCAGATATAAAATGTTTAGGAGTTTTCACACCCCTCTCCCTGACTTACAGTCTTTATTTACTTGTGAGGAAGTGTTGGTGTTATTCCTTATGTGTTCTTCCAAAGTCCACTGCTATTCCAAAAACACTTCCAGATCTATAGAGTAAACCTTGTAGGCTGTACAACATGGTTATATAATTTGTCTTATTCCAGATGAGAGCTTCCTCTTCAATAAGAATGCCTGCCTTTCTTTATTTCTCTCTTATTATGACAATCTCTTTATAGTGACACTTTGAAATCATGAGTTACCATCACCAAACTAAAAAAAATTGATTTTCATTTAATAATGATAATAGTAATATGTCCTCTCTGTGTCAGGGAGTTTTCATATGGTACTCAAACACAGCAAGTCTCAGGTACTTTTCCTCAACTTGGACATATGTCTTATTATACTGTTATCTCAGAAAATAAAAGCCATGATTATCTTTCTCAGCATTGTATAGCCAGCCTGTAGCAGAATTCTTGGTTTATGCTAAGTGCTCAATAAATATTTGTTGAATGAATGAATAAATGATTGCTTTTAATCTCCCCCTGCCCCTCCCCACATGGGCAGCTAAACAAAAAACCTTACAAATACAAAAGTACATAGATGCGTACACACACATATACATATCCATATATCTATGGATGTTACAACTGCTGTGATGTTATAACTGCTCTCATTTCTTCTCTCATATTATCTCTCATCCTAAAACTTGTTGATATAATTCATCTCTTCTAGGGTCATTATTCACCTACATTGGGTGAGGGATGATAACATTAATTATAGGAAAATTTACATTTCAGTTGGAGTAGTATAATTTAGGTTGTTAATCCACTACACTAACCTTCTGGCTTAGTGTGTACTAGGGAAACATTTTTGGGATAATTATTCACATAAGTTTTAATAATGTCACTTGATACTATTGCTTTGCTTTACTAACATAAAATCTACACTATAACTTTCAGGTCATTTATTTTTGGAATAATCCTTATCTGGTGGAAAGTTAGTGGGAAAGGCTGTTGAAGTCAAGGAATACAGAGAGGCGTGAATCCCAGTATTGTTATATTAATGCCACTTTAAGCGTCATTAATTTTTAAATATCTGAATTAAATTAATATTTCCAGTCTTTTCCTAAACAGTAGAAGGATCTTAGATCATTTAATAGCAAACTACATTATGAATCTTTCATATATTGTCATTTGAGTTTTAACTTCTAGGTTCTTTACCTACATGATTTCCCTTCCATTAGTCGTTGTTGTTGTTATTATATTTACTAGGATCTAACAACATATTTACCAATTACTTTGTTCACTATTCATTCTTGAACCCATTTTCTCATGTTGATTTCAACTTCCGTTTTCCTGAAGTACAACCCTTCTAGTTTCTTTTTTTTTTATTTATATATGAAATTTATTGTCAAATTGGTTTCCATACAACACCCAGTGCTCATCCCAAAAGGTGCCCTCCTCAATACCCATCACCCACCCTCTCCTCCCTCCCACCCCCCATCAACCCTCAGTTTGCTCTCAGTTCTCAACAGTCTCTTATGCTTTGGCTCTCTCCCACTCTAACCTCTTTTTTTTTTTTTTTTCTTCCCCTCCCCCATGGACAACCCTTCTAGTTTCAATTAGTGTCTGTGGTTATAAGCATTTTGTGTTAAATGCCTGAACATATATTTTTTTCCACACCCAGCTTTGAAAGAGAACCTGGATGATTATAGACTTCTAGTTGAGAGTCACTTTACACAACTCTTTTAAAGCATTCTGTTGTAATGTGACATTTACTGTCATTGATGAGACCTCCGTTGTTAGTGTAATTAATTTCTTTATTCCTTTCCAATTAATGTGTGTTTGCTCTAAATGGCTTCTAAGGTTTCCTATTTGTCCTGAGTTTTGTTATTTTATTATGATATGTTCTGATATAATTTGTTCTTATTGATACTGATCTGGATTCAATATAGTCTTTAGATATCAATACTCAGGTCATTAATTCTATAAAAAAATTCAGTTACTATTTCTTCAATTATTGACCCTTCCCCATTCTTTTTCTTTTCTTTAAAATGACTAATATCTAAAAAGATTATATTGGGGAGAGTCTTCTCGTTTTAGCGTCCATGTTTCTTAACTGGACCGTTCATGTACCATACTTTTTCACCTCTCTATCTGGCATTGATTCCTTCATATGAGCTTCCAAATCACTCATTCTCCTAATGGTTATCTTTTTCATGACTTATTCCCATCTTACTCTCTGTGGAGATCTTAAATATTTCTATTTAAGTTTTTTATATTGTCCATTGATCTTAATGTGTGAATTTTTTGTTCTGCTGTGCTATGGCTGTGGCCGTTTAACACACAGCAGTAGTTTGTAATTTAGACTTGTAAATGATGTCATCCTTAGGAGTAATGATTGGTCTCATGGGAATTCTGCATGCTGAGTTTACACATACATTAGGAAGAGGGGAATGTTTCAGATTTGCCTGTCCTGGAGCATGAATGTTTCAATATTTTCTATGTTTACTGGCTCAAATTTGTAGGTAGTAGGATTAAGGAATTGAGATCCTGCCCCTCTACATAGTACAGGCCTGAGGTTTTACTTCTCTATGTGGCCTTTTTCCATCTACATGGATAAACCAGCTTACTTGTTGCATTCCCAATGGCCATAATTTTTATTTGCTCTATTTAGGACTACTAGTCTCAGGGTTTGTTCTATCTTTCTAGCATCTGTTAGAAACAGTGTCTTCTACTCCTTCCAAGCTACGGTTAGTAAAACTATGTCTCTTAGGATGTAAATCATTCATATTCCCTTGTAGTCATTCAGCTTTTGCTCCTGTTTTCCTTCTGAACTCTTAGTTTCTTCATTTTTTACTGACAGAAGGAAAAGCCTTTTTGGCTGTCAATCTCCATTGGATATTAAATTTTTGTGCCATCTTCTTCAGCTTTTCTGTGGAATAGAAAGGGAAAACTTTTCTTGTTGAATAGAAAGGGGAACTCTTTCCTGTCATTTCATTCTGCTAAATTGCCCAGAAGTAAATAAATGTGAGTTTTCATTTGCAAATTGTGGAAATTTACATATCAATGAATAAAAAAACTAACTTGAAGCCTGAAAGCCAAATGTAAGCATTCATAGTCAAACTTATGTATTGTGCTTAGAAGTGGTGAAGAAAAAAAAAAATGCATCTCTACCATCTTGATACTTTTCCCCACTGGAAGTTTTATATTTTGCATTATATGTTGTACTTGGTGTTGTGTAAATAAGAATATTACTTATTTGCATGTACCAAGTGTTAAGAGAGTTAGTTTTGGTATAAAATGGCTTGATCATCATTCTCAATTTAGGCAAGTTTCTTAACTGTTAGACATTATTTTTATTTTTTATTTTTATTTAGATCCAGTTCAGAAAGTAGTGCTCAAACATATACCAGCAGGTAAGTAGCTTAGAAAGTTTTTCTCATAAATAAGTGTATCTTGAAAATAAGAATGAACAGGGGCACCTGGGTGACTCAGTTGGTTAGGCATCCACTTTTGATTTCGGCTCAAATCATGTGATTGAACCCGTGTAGGGTGTGCTTGGGATTCTCTCTCTCCTCTCTCTCAACCCCTCCCCCTGCTCCCTCTTTCTCTTTCTCTCTTTCAAAGTAAATAAATAAACTTTTAAAAAAGAAAATAGTGAACAAATAATTGCTTACTATTTTTTAGCAGCCACAGATGATAAAGTACTGTCCTAAAAAACAATTTATCAGTATTTTTCGTTCTAGGAATAAATATTTATTAACTCAGTCTTTTTTCTCAGTTGACTAAATTTTTATTGATTCCCTACTCTTTTGATACACAGGAAAAAAACTAGTTAAGTCTAATGAGACAAGATATCTATAATTATTATGTGGAAGTAACTCATAAGCAGAGCATTTTTTACATTCTTTATGATGAGGTACACAAAGGAAAATACTACTTTTTTGTTCATATTACATTTATATCCACAAACTCAATATAAACAATGGGGTAAACTCCACTTAGGAGGGGTTTATCACAGGGATGGAATGATAAACACACTAAAATTCTTTGCTTCTCACAGCCCTGCAACAGCCCACGATTGTGTTAACTAAGGTTCTCTGAATTCTTCTTAAATTTTTAGTTTCCCATGCTCCACAGTTGTGGCCTTGTGATCCTTCTAAAGTCATCAAATATTTATTGGTCTTCTCACATTTCTTTCTCCCTTATTAGAATTTTAGTTTTCTTGTACTGTCTGACATTTTTCCTTAAAGTGTCTTTTAGTTACTTTCAATCTACTAGTATTCCAGAATATCCCTTTATAGCCACAGGTTAAAATTTCAGGCTGCACCACAACATTTATAGTTTCTGTCCTTTCTGATGAAGTCACTTCCTCCATTAGGGAAGCTTATGGAATTTCTACATCCTTTATTCTCTCTGTTATTTTTGGATATCTCCTAACATAATTACCCTTTTATAGATGTTAGTTACATTCTCCCAACTAGGTATGAAAAAAGAGCTAATTTTCTTTATTGTCTCCGTTTCCTGTCAAGAGAATGCTCAACACAATTCTTCCAAACTTTTGCTTACCTAGAAGCATCACTTTCCCTATACATACTCTGAAATCACTTGAGGGTAATGCTCTGTACACCTAGCAGAGTACATGCTTAAAGAATAAGTTGTTAATGAATGAGTGATTACTCTTGAACTTCACATACACACATAATTAATATTATTACTACTCCAATTGTCCCCTCTCTCATTATAGAATATGGGATTCACATAATCATCTTCTTCTAGAAGTGGTATTCAACTGGACTGAGGGATAGTCAAAGGCATGGTTAACACTACCAAAACAAGAATTTTTTTAAATGCTGGAAATCTAATGGGTTGTGCATGTCAGTAGACACAAGTCTAGATCCCTTTATTGGTTTGGGGGAGAACTAACTACAGTTAACCTTCGAACAACATGGATTTGAACCATGCAGATCCACTTACACATGGGCTTTTTGATAAATATAGTACCATAAATGTATCATCTTTATGGTTTTCTTAATAGCCTTTCTTTTCCCCAGCTTACTTTATTGTAAGATACAGTTTATAATATATATATATATGAAGTATAAAATGTGTTAATCAACCCTTTATGTTATCAGAAAGGCTTCCAGTCAACAGTCGATTATTAAGTAATTAAATTTTAGAGGAGTCAAAAGTGTTATATGTGTGGTAATCAACTCTGTGGGGGTTGACACCCTTAACCCCTTTGTTGTTCAAGGGTCAACTGTATATTAAAAAGGGGTGTTTCATAGTGAGAATAGTTGGAAACATCTTCTTTAAGGTCTGAAGATATAAAATTGCAGAGTTAGGAAAAGGATGAGAAAAGTAAAATTATATCACTTATCACTGAATTATCTCCCTAATCTTATCATCTATATTATTTTCTCTGTCAATAAACCTCATTTAATTTGTCTTCAATTCATTATTTTTTTCTCTAATTCTGTTGGTTAGAGGATCAGAAAAAAAATCTATGGATCCAAAAATTTGATTTTGACTTTTAGTAATAAGTAGTATAAATGTAGACATTTGGGAGATATTTCTTTTTTACCATTCTTTTGCAGGCAAAGAGGAAGAAACTTCATTAAAAATATAAAATAACTTTATTGTATTGTATTGTATCAAACTAAAAGTATTATTTCATTGTTTATTTAGATCCAAATCACAGGAAAGCACCCAAACACATAACAGTAGGTAAGTATATTAGAAGCTGTCTCTTAAAATAAATGTTTGAAATTAAAATGAAATTCATAATCTATAGTATTTATTGGGTAGTTGAATTAGTAAAGTACTAAATCAGAAACAATGTATTAATCTTTACTAATCTTATTATTGGTCTTTTTTCTTCATTCAATATTGTTCTCTTAAGTCTGTTGGGAACTATCTCTTGTGGGTAGAATGGAATTAAAGGGTTGAATCCAGTAAGATATCTGATATGTAAATTAGTCTATAAAGTAAATTTATAATCAGGGCCACCTTATCCATTAGGCATTGAAGGCACAATATTTAAGTCCTATGAGTTTCCAACTGCCAAAAACAAAACTATTTACAACATGAAAAACCAAACAGATTGGCCCCAAGATATGGAAAAGGTACAATTCATATATATTTCAATTTCTAAAAAATAATGCAGTTTGATTCATATTCATGAACATTTTATTGTATGTAGAAAAATGTAAGATTTTCTCATTTGCAAATACTTCTGATTAAAAATGATGCTTCTCCAGAAATCTGATAAAATTGTAGCGTAAATGTTACTGACAGCCAAATAATTTCACAAGCAAAATTAACAAAAATTTTGTCTAGAATTTTTTTTAAGTAGGTTCCATTCCCAACGTGGAGCCCAATGTGGAACTTGAACTCATGACCCTGAGATCAAGACCTGAGCTGACACCAAGAGTCTGATGCTTACCCGGCTGAGCCACCCAGGAGACCCTAGAATCCTTTTTTTTGACATGTGAATTTTTTTGCTTGGCAGTACCCCCAGTTTGTATATTCTGCGGTGGAAGGGAATTTATTGCTCTCAATACCTTAAGCCTGTGTGTCTTTTTTCTCTTCCACAGTAACTAATAATTCCTTCAGAAGGCAATGGATATCAGAGAGTATCTCACTGAGAAATGAAAATTTCACCTTTGCTCCCTTGGTCACAGTTGAAGGAAACAATAAACCGAGTGTGGAACTATTTGCATGTGCATCTGTTTTTCTTTCTGCTTCCACCCCTGAGGCTGCAGTTCTGTCATTTAGGGCCCTTAACTGAAGATACTCATCTCTACTCAGGCATCTCCATCCCAACCAGGCTCCCTGAGCTTTTTTTCCCAGTTCTCCTACCACCCACTCCTGCTTACTTGCTTGGAGCCTCAGATGCTGGCAATCTGCATCAACTGCTTTTCCTCAGGAAGAGCTCTGGGTGGTAGTCCATGTTCTTCCTCCTAGTCCTTCTCACTGGACTTGGCTGGCTGTATACAGATCTCAGTTAATCCTGATATTTTCCCACCTCACCTTCCCCAAAACCCGAATCCATGGCTTCTGAGGGAAGCTGTGTTTGCCTTAAGGACTATACTACTGTCTAGGACTCTTGCTCTAACCACTGCTTTTCCCTTGTCCCTTGGCTAAGTGACCCATAGGGTGAATCCTAGAAGACAGAAGAACCCAGAGAGCTTGGGCTTGGGCCTCAGGGGCAAAGGTTAATCCCTATCAGAGTTTAGTGTCAAGGCTGAAAAATTGAGTTAAGTCAAGTTTCTCTCATTTTCATTTTTTGAAATTTTGTATGAAATTGTTTACTTTTCCAATGAAATATTTGTCAGAATTCACCAATGAAACTGGAATTTTCTTTGTGAGTTGTACTTTAATTATGGATTCAATTTCTTTAACAGAGGACTATTCAGGTTTTTAATTTATTCTTGCAGTAGGTTTTTCATATATTGTAATCTTAAAGGAGTCTATTTCATTTAATGGTCAATCTTTTGACATAAAGTTGTTCTTAATAACCTTTCTTAGTGTTATTAACCTTTTATGGGATCTTTCTGATCAGGGTTGATAAGTGTTTTCACATGAACTAAAATCTATTAATCTTTTCAGACCACCTCATCTTTTTTTTTTTTCTTTATTGCATCTCTGTTTTCTGTTTCATTGATTTCTGCCTTTTTAAAATTTGCTCTTTTCCTAGCTTCTGGAAGTGGAAATTTAGTTCATTTATTTTAAACATTTTCTAAATATTTTAAAGGTGTAAATTTGCTCTATATACTTCTTTAGCTTCATTTCATGAAATGTGATATGTTGTATTTTTATTATTCTTCAGGTTAAAATATTTTCTTTTTCTTTTCTTTTCTTTTCTTTTCTTTTCTTTTCTTTTCTTTTCTTTTCCTTTCTTTTCTATTTTTTTATTGTGGATGTTTTCCTATTTGACCTTAATTTTTGCCTAGTAGTGTTCTTTTAATTTTGTTTTTAAATTTTATTTTTTTTTTAATTTACATCCAAGTTAGTTAGCATAGAGTACAACAATGATTTCAGGAGTAGATTCCTTAGTGCTCCTTAACCATTTAGCCCATTCTCCCCCCGCAGAACACCTCCAGTAACCCTCTGTTTGTTCTCCATATTTGTGAGTCTCTTCTGTTTTGTCCCCCTCCCTGTTTTTATATTATTTTTATTTCCCTTCCCTTATGTTCATGTATTTTGTCTCTTAAAGTCCTCATATGAGTGAAGTCGTATGATACTTGTCTTTCGCTGACTAATCTCACTTAGCATAATACCCTCTAGTTCCATCCACGTAGTTGGAAATGACAAGATTTCATTCTTTTTGATTGCCAAATAATACTCCATTGTATATATACCACATCTTCTTTATCCATTCATCCATTGATGGACATTTGGGCTTTTTCCATACTTTGGCTATTGTTGATAACACTGCTATAAACATTGGGGTGTATGTGCCCCTCTGAAACAGCACACCTGTATCTCTTGGATAAATACCTAGCAGTGCAATTGCTGGGTCACAGGGTAGTTCTATTCAGGTCAAAATATTTTCTAATTTTCACTTTGATATCTGAATTATAGGTTACTTAGAAGTGTATTGTTTAACTTCCAAATATTTGGATATTTTCAGTTTAATCTTTTCTTATTGATTTATAATTAATTCAATCATAGGCAGAGAACATACATACACAATTAACAATTCTTTGAAATTATTGTTTTCTTTATGGTCTAGACTATGATGTACTTTGGTGAGTGCTCCATGTGCACTAAAAAATGTACAATTTGCGATTATTGAAAAATGTCAATGAAGTCAAGTTTGTTACCAGTATTTCTGAAACCTTTAAATTTTTTTCCCTTTTCTATTATTTCCTGAGAGACATGTGTTAAAATTGCCTATTGTTGTTGTTTATATGTTATTTGTTTTAGGTATATTATAGGTGTTTCACATGTTTTCAAGTTATATTTTAGTACATATATCTTTAGGATTGGTATGCTTTTCTGATGAACTAACTGACCCTTTATCATGACATAATTCTTTTTATTTCTAATAGTCTTAGTTTTTAATTTTACTTTTTTTCTGATATTAATATAGCCATACCAACTTTTTTACAGTTCTTTGCATGCAGATATCTTTTTCATCCTTTAACTTTCAATGTATCTTTCCTTATATTTAAGATGTATCTGATGTAAACAGAATAGAGTTGAATCTTATATTTTTTAAATTCAGTCATATAATGTTTTCAAATTGAAGTGTTAAAAGCATTTACATTTAATATAACTTCTGATACTATTGGTTTTAAGTCTACCATTTTATTATGTGTTTTCTATTTGTCCCACATTTCTTTGTTCTTCCCCCCACCTCTGTTTTTCTTTTAGGGTAATTGAGGATTAATCTCTTTTTCTTCCCTGTTGGCTCTTGTAGCTGTCCTTTTTTTCTTTTTTAAAGTTTATTACTTATTTTGAGAGAGAGATAGAATTACAGTCAGGCTCCACACTGTCAGCATGGAGCCTGATGCAGGACTTGAACACATGAACCATGAGATCATGACCTAAGCCAAAGTTGGAAGCTTAATCAACTGAACCACCCAGGCGTCCCTCCAGCTGTCTTTTTAAATATTAATTTTTTTGGTGGCTTTTCCTTAATTTATCCTTAATTTATCACAGTCTACCTTGATTATTGGTGTATAAAAATGCAACAGACTTCTGTTCATTGATTTTATGGCCTGCAACTTTGCTGAATTCATGTATCAGTTCTAGCAATTTTTTCTTCTGGGTTTTCTACATACAGTATTATGTCATCTGTGAAGCGTGAACGTTTGACTTCTTCCTTGCCAATTTGGATGCCTTTTATTTCTTTTTATTGTCTAATTGCTGAGGTTTTAGGACTTCTAGTACTCTATTAAGTAACAATGGTGAGAATAGACATCCCTGTCTTGTTCCTGACCATAGAGAAAAAGCTCTCAGGTTTTCTTCATTGAGGATGTTATTAGTTGTGAGTCTTTTGTGTATGGCCTTTATAATGTTTGTGTATGTTCCCTCTATCCCTACTTCATTGTGGGTTATTTATCAAGAATGGATGCTGTATTTTGTTATATTTGCTATATTTGTTTCAAGAATGAATGCTATCCAGGGCCAGCTCCCTCCACCCCAGAAGTGCACACCACAGCTCCACTCTAGGGAAAGTTGTGCACTTCCAAAACCTCAGAGTTTGAGCTCCAAACACTGTTTGCAAAACAAAACAAAAAACCAAACACACACACACACACACACACACACAAACAACAACAAAAATCCTGTGGAATTCAGCACTTCTTGATCCCTAATCCATGGTCCAGAGAGGTTTTCCTCCTGTGTGAACTCAATGCCACACTTTCTCGACCCATCTCTCTTTCTCTCCCTTTTGTCTTTCCACAGGAAGGGTTCCCTCCCCTCCATGGCACCACCATTTTTCTCTACCCCAATTCACTTCCACGCAACTTCTACCTGCCACACTGTCTCCCTCCAACAGTGGAGATTCTTCTGCTACTCCTCAGATCATTTTCCTGGGTGTTCCAAGTGATATGACCTCAATATAGCTGTGTTTGAGGGACAAGGAAAGCCCCGGGACCCTACTTCTCTGCCATCTTAACTCCTCCACCTTGTCAGAAACTTTTAACCATGACTGTTTTTCTGGAGACAAATAATATGTGAAAAAAAGTGGCACTCCTCTCCCACAATAACAGGCACTGCAGCAGCAGAGCCAGTGGGTGAAATCCTGTCTTCAATACCCACTATGTTAACAAGGCAATTTTACAGAGCCTGTGTGTGGAACTCTGACTTCCACTGCCACCATCTTGCAATAACAAGGTGATGGTCCTCTCTAGTTAAGTCAGTGAGTGGAATCTTGATTCAAATGAGTTTTTTCCTCAGAAATAATGGAGGACAAAAGAAGTAACAGAACACTTATTTTCAAGTGCTAAAAGAACTCTCAACACAGAATTCTATATCCAGAAAAAATACCTTTTAGAAATGAAAGTGAAAGACATTCTGAGATAAAGAAAAAGAATTTGTAACCATCAGACCTGTTCTAAAAGAATAGCTAAAGGAAATTGGTAACAAAGAAAGAAAATTGTATTAAAAGCAAACTTGGAATACCAGAATGAAAGAACAATGGAAAGGCTAAATACATGGGCACATACAATAGATTATTCTTCTACTGTTGAGTTTTGAAAAGTGTGATGATTAAAAGCAAAAACTGTAACTGCTAGATAAAGTTCTCAATATATGCAGAAAAATATTTGAGACAACGATATCATAGTGGGGATCACTTTGTGTGGATGTAAAGGGGCCTAAATGATGATAAGTTACCAACATTCCACTTCAAGTGGTAAAATGTTAATACCAGCAGACTGTAATAAGCTGTATGTATATATATTATAATCCCTAGAACAACTACAAAGAAACTTTTAGTTTTTACATGTTTATACAGTTGTTTTAGTGCATACTGTTTTTATATGGTCTTCAAAAAAAATAGTATAAAGTGTGGTGCTGAAAATGTTCAAATAACTTATAAAAAGTCAGGAAATGGGAAACAAAGAGTGGGAAGAAACAGAAACCAAATAACCTGATGGTAGGGTTAAATTCTTATATATCAATAATTACATTATATAAAAATGGCAAACACATCAATTGAAAAACAGGGATTGCAGAAATCGATTTTTTAAATGACACAA